TAAAGTGTTTAATAATGTTTGCATTGTTTAGCAGACAACTACAGTATATATCAGTTTGACCTAGTGGGTTATTTTTTATTTTTTATTTTTTTAATGCCTTATGTTACTATGGTTCAGTCGTTGAACCACCATATTATACTGGTGTATTTTGTTAAAATGTATTGTCCTCAAAAAAATAAGGAAATTAACTGGTTTCTTCGAAATTCAATAATTCAAATGAAATATATCCTTTAAAATGTTGGGAGCTGCCAATCAATATTATGTTTTATGCAATCTATAGCATTATTTTGTTTAAATCTACTTTATATATACATATGTTTAAAATACACAATTTATGCTCAAGTTAGTAACTTTTATGCTACTTCAAATTAAGAAATTAATATCAGATAAAATTTTTAGCATTTTTTTTTTGGGGACAATACATCTTTAAAGAGAGAATTATATTTTTATGCCTGGTATGCTTTGGTATAATTTGGACAAGATACTGGATTAATTTCCAATTAGATATTTTATAAAGTGTTTAATAATGTTTGTATTTTAGTTAGACCTCCTGGGTTAATTTGTAGAGAGTTTGTTTTTATGCCTTACGTTACTATGGTTGAGCTGTTGAACCACCATCTTGTACTGGGGTATTTTGTTAAAGGGTATTTTCAACAAAAAAAATGACAAATTATAAGAAATTCAATTTGAAATTAACTGTTTTCTTCAATATTCAACATTTATTTTCCTTAAAATGTAAATTACAGTGTTCTTTGATATATAGCAGATAAATAGATAAGTATGAAGACTCTCAATTCCTAAAAGCAGAGCTTGTGATGGATGTGACCAAAACATTTATAAACAATTAACAAAAAGATGACAAACATTTGTAATGATAATAAAAGTAATAATAATTCATCACAGACAACAACCTTCAGACTAATTTTGCCATCGTAGAGAGGGCGGACGTTCCATCGAATTTAATGCAAACTACGCGAAGCGCTCATTCTTCTGCTATTTATATTCTTTGGATTCACTTAAAACGTACAATAATATGGTATAAGTGTAGCTTAGTATTTTTGCATGTAGAGATGAGGTCACGTCGCGTTACACGAGTCATACATGCTTTCGCTTGCTCTCTAAACACGAATCTGGCCACCACGCACATTGGCTATGATGTCATCGTTTAGCTTGCTGTTTGTTGTTGCAATGCAAATTGAGTAGACTGTTATTTTTAGCATCGACATCTTTTTGTTTGAGCTAGCAGACTGTTACGTATTTTTAACTCGTACGTGGAGTGGATCGTTGATTTTACTTTATGAATTATCGTGAAATGTTGGGGCTTTCCCATAAATATAGGCTCTATTGTAATTTTCTGTAGTTTATATGTATTTCCGTAGTATTTATCTATATTTCCGTACGTCCGTAATTGGGCCGAATTTCTGTATTTAAACTACGGACGTTCCGTAGTACTTGAGAACCCTGCACTTTCGATTCCACTCAGTGCATTATGACTTTGCAGTGAATTTCAATGACGTCATCTTTGTCTCAGCGTATCAACGTCCCAGCGTATCAGCGTCTCAGTGTATCAGCGTCTCAGTGTATCAGCGTTTATAAGACAACGTGATGATTTCAATGTTGTGAATCCCCTTGGCAACAAAGTAAAAAAACATAAACTTGCTGCTTTTTATTTTGTGCTTGGAAACATATCTCCTCAATATAGATCTAAGTTGTATGTTTTACAGCTTGCCCTACTTTGCAAATCAAATGCATTGAAACTATACGGCTGGAATCAAGTTCTTAAACCTCTTTTAAAAGATATTTCAATGTTGGAAACTCAAGGTATTTCTTTCAATATGAATGGCCATATGTATAATTTTAAAGGTACATTATCATTTGTTGCAGCAGACAATCTAGGTGCTCATGCAATTGGTGGATTCAATGAAAATTTCGGTGGCTTAAGAGTCAGTCGTTTCTGCATGGTCACTAAACAAGCCATTAATAATTGTTTGACTGTAGACAGTTGTGAAAGTAGAACAAAGCAAAGCTACAATGCACAAGTTGCTATGGTTATTGATAACGAAAGGTTTCAGACAATGTATGGTTTGAAACAGAACTCCCCTCTTAATGACCTTCAATATTTTCATGTTATTAATGGTCTTCCATCAGATGTTGCACATGACCTGTTTGAAGGAATTGTTCCTGAAGTTCTGAGGAATGTGGTTTTGCACTGTGTGTCTGAAGGTTATTTTACTCTTGAGTATTTTAATTCACAGATAGATAGTTTTCCTTACGGTAAATCAGACAGGACGAACAAGCCAACAAGAATGACTTCGATAGTAGCAAAATTCAGAATTAAACAAACTGCTATGCAGTGTTGGTGTTTATAGAGACTCTTTCCACTTTTTGTTGGTGAAAACATTCCTGAGAATGACTCGAAGTGGGATGTTATTTTGGCACTGATGGCCATGGTTGAGGCATCATGTGCACCAGTATTTTCACAAGGTGATATAGGTTTTCTGTCAGACTTAATCGAGGATTTTTTGTTCATTTATAGGAGGGAGTTTCCTGAAGAAAATATCAAACCTAAAGGCCATTTCGCATTGCATTATCCAAATCAAATAAGGCAATTTGGTCCTTTAATTCACTGCTGGACACTCAGGTTCGAAGGCAAACATAACTACTTTAAAGAAATTATGTTGAGTTTGTTTGAAAAACAGGAGGAACATTTGTAAAAGTATGGCTGTAAGACACCAGCTTATGCAAACAATTTTTTTAGCGCCTGATAATTTTTTTGATGCAGAGAAAGTTGACACGTTTTGTGGAAAATCTGTTTTTGTTAGACTTTTATTAAGTGAAATCCAAGATTTTCTGTCCCCATATTTAGGTGATCAGGAGCGTGTTTTCCAATGTGATGGAATAAAGGTGAATGGAGTTAAATATTGCAGTGGTTCTTGCCTAATTTTCAAATACACGTCTGATTGTTTGCCTGTATTTGTCAAGATAGAGAACTGTTTTCTCATTGGTAACATTCCATACATTTATGTACATATCTCAGCACTTTGTACTTCAATGTTCATTATCATGGATATGTTGTAAAACACCTCAACGCATTTAAGTTAATAAAACCTACTGATGCTATTGACTATCATCCTCTTGATATCTATACTCTACCTAAAGATGGGGGAACTGATAACAAAATAGTAATACTTAGGCACAAGATATCTGTATGATCTATTTCTTGCTTGCAGGAAAATTCATCTTCATGTAGTGCTGTTA